AATCGCTCTTTGTGTTTCACATACCACTCGTGTTTCAGTTGTTTCGCCTTCTCGGGATTTTTGTTGGGCATTCTCAAACGCAACTGACGTCTGTTCTGATTGACCGACTTTATCTAAGGTTCAATCCGCCAATCACGGATCTCGGTCCAGGTCTAGAGGAGATGAAAGGAGTCTGTACCCAAGGGGGGGACCCCCCTTAATCTTCTTCTGGTCCATCAAAACCCCTCACCTGACTCTCACCTGAGCTGGGTCCACCAATCCTAGCGCAGGCGAGATCACGTGAGAAGGTCTATAAAAGTCCACGTCCAGCGCGGGAAAATTCAAATTGTTGCCGCTGTCATGGCGGAGGCGTATCCATTCAGTGACGATGACGAAGGGGATGCTCTATTGGATCGCGCCTATGATCGGTGGGAACAGTTGGGAGGGGCTGTCGCCCGTGGCCCTCTTTTTCAATTCAGTATGCAACCTATTGGTCGACGACGCCGCTGGCGTGATGTAGTGGAGCGGGCGCAATTCAATGCGCAATTACGACAATTGCGGGATCCTGTCCCTGGAGACAATATTGGGTTGGCGTTGACCGAAGCACTTCATCAAGCCATTGAAACAGAACTGGGCCGCGAGCAACGACCTGCCCATCATTTTGTCAATTTTGCTATCACGGCGCATGGGTTCACGCATGCTTATCAAACCGCCAATTTTACCGTAGGGGAGTTTTTACAACGCACCGCCCGTTTGGATGAAATGTTAGCCACCTTGGCCGGCAAGTTGAACAGCAATGAAGCCTTCAACCCCGATCGTGGGTTCCAAGTGGATGTGGTGTTTGTCTCTATGCCCGGCCCAGGAACAGGCCATCGTAAACAACGCAATGCCGGACGTCTATGCCTGGATCGAGACAATAAGAAAAAGAAATGTATTATTACCATCAAAAACAGAGATGCCCTATGCTGTGCTCGCGCTATTGTCACCATGCGAGCTCATTGCCATAAAGATCAAAGCGTGGATGGGTTTCGCGATTGGGAGAATCTCAGACGTGGGCTTCCTGTGCAGCAACGTCAAGCCCAGGCTCTCCATCAGCAAGCGGGGGTGGCTGAGGGTCCCTGTGGTTTACCCGAACTCCGTCAATTTCAACAGGCGTTGGGGTCTCAGTATCAACTCTTGGTGATGACCCGGATGAAACCGTTTTTTCTCATCTTCAAAGGCCCTGACGCCCCCCATCCGATTCGTTTATTGAAATCCAATGATCATTTTGATGGCTGCACCTCCTTTCCGGCGTTTGTCAATCGTTCGTACTATTGCCTGGATTGTGAACGAGGGTTCAACACCAACGATCGGACCCAACACAGTTGTCAAGGGAGACGCTGCAAAGCGTGCGGTCGATTTGACTGTTCAGATTATGTGCGTGGCACCCGCCCCACAGACTATTGCCCCTTATGTCATCGCAAGTTTTACGGTGAGCAATGTAAACGTCATCATGTGGATAGCCGGCAATGTCAATCCATTAAAACCTGTCTCAAGTGCCAGGCCCAGTATACGGTCGTCCCTAATCAACGTCACCAGTGTGGGTACGCCAAATGTCCCGTGTGTCACGAATGGGTGTCCATCCAATACCATAAGTGTTACATTCAACCCGTGGTCGAGAATGAGGAAGAGACTGAACCTACAGAGGAGGGGGGAGGTAGCATGGTGGCGCCACCCCCTCCCCTGTTTGTTTACGCCGATTTTGAAGCCATGCAGAATGCAGAAGGTGTGTTTGTGGCCAATTTGTTGTGTTATTCGTCCAGTGAAGAAACGACTATTCATGTGTTGGACGGAGAGGACTGTGCCCTCCAATTTTTGCATGATTTGGATGATCTCATGGTTATTCCAGACCATGAGGGCGAGCGGGAGATTCTCGTGGTGTTTCACAATTTGAAAGGCTTCGATGGCATGTTTATTCTCCATGAACTGTACCAGCAACAACGCGAAGTGGTGGATCAATTGACAGTGGGTGCTAAAGTGTTGTCCTTTAGGAGTGGACCCCTCAAATTCATTGACTCGTTGTGTTTCCTGCCTATGCCATTGGCCTCGTTTCCCAGCACCTTCAATTTGACCGAATTAAAGAAGGACTTCTTTCCGCATTTGTTCAATACCCCGGATCATCAACAGTATGTGGGCCGTATCCCTGATTTGGAATTTTACGATCCCGAGGGTATGATGGCCAAAAAGAAAGACGAACTGACGCGTTGGCATGCGGACCAAGTCCGTCGTAATGTGCGTTTTGATTTCCAGCAAGACATGATCGAGTACTGCAAATCAGATGTGGCGCTCTTGAAAGTGGGGTGTGAAGCCTTTCAGCAAGAATTTGAACAGCAAGCTGGTTTCAATCCCATGGCTAAATACATCACCATCGCCAGTGCCTGCAATCTCTATTGGCGCAAGCACCATTTGACCCCCGACACCAATGCCGTCGAACCGCTCCGGGGCTGGCGAGGCGCCCAAGTTAATCAATCCCTCAAGGCCCTACACTTGCTGTACTACCAAGAACACCTTATTCCTAAAGAGGGGGCTAGTGCCGATCGCATTCGTCATGTCCGGAATGGGGGCGAGCAGTTTGTCCGGACCCTCGTGAACAGTTATTTCGTCGATGGGTATGATCCCTTGACCCGCACTGTTTACGAATTTCATGGGTGTCTCTACCATGGCTGTCCCATTTGTTTTCCTATGAGAAACGCCAAACATTATGCCACACCGGATCGAAGCGTGGAGGAACTGTATCAAGCCACGCTCTCTAAACGCCTGGCTCTGCTTCGAGCAGGTTATATAGTGATTGAAATGTGGGAGTGTGAATGGGACAAGTTGGTGGACACGGATGAAGCTGTCCAACGTTTCCTGAATTCGTTTGATCTGGTGGCTCCCTTGGAACCCCGTGACGCCTTTTTTGGGGGTCGCACCGGCGCGGTGGCTCTCCATGCCGTGGCTGAAGAGGGGGAGGAAATACGTTATGTGGATGTGACCTCTTTGTACCCATGGGTGAATAAGAACTGTCCTTACCCTATCGGTCATCCCAAGATCATTACCCAGCCCGCTGACCAGTCCTTGGCGTCCTATTTTGGTCTGGCTACGGTGGATATTCTGCCTCCAACTGGCCTATTCCACCCCGTCTTGCCTGTACGTTGTGGTCAAAAACTCACGTTTCCTCTCTGCCGTGCCTGTGTCCAAGCGGAACAAGCCCAGCCCATGTTGACTAGAACCCAGTATTGCCCTCATTCGGATGCGGATCGTACACTACGTGGGACCTGGTGCACGCCCGAACTGGTCAAAGCGGTGGAAAAGGGGTACACCCGATCAAGATCCATGAAGTCTGGCATTTTCCCCCTGAACAACGCCAAACGGGTCTTTTCGCTGATTACGTCAATACTTGGCTCAAACTCAAACAAGAATCCGCGGGGTGGCCCAGTTGGTGTCAGACCCTCGAACAAAAACGAGAGTATATTCTTCGCTACCAGGAACGGGAAGGGATCCGACTGGATATTGCCAANAGTGATTGAAATGTGGGAGTGTGAATGGGACAAGTTGGTGGACACGGATGAAGCTGTCCAACGTTTCCTGAATTCGTTTGATCTGGTGGCTCCCTTGGAACCCCGTGACGCCTTTTTTGGGGGTCGCACCGGCGCGGTGGCTCTCCATGCCGTGGCTGAAGAGGGGGAGGAAATACGTTATGTGGATGTGACCTCTTTGTACCCATGGGTGAATAAGAACTGTCCTTACCCTATCGGTCATCCCAAGATCATTACCCAGCCCGCTGACCAGTCCTTGGCGTCCTATTTTGGTCTGGCTACGGTGGATATTCTGCCTCCAACTGGCCTATTCCACCCCGTCTTGCCTGTACGTTGTGGTCAAAAACTCACGTTTCCTCTCTGCCGTGCCTGTGTCCAAGCGGAACAAGCCCAGCCCATGTTGACTAGAACCCAGTATTGCCCTCATTCGGATGCGGATCGTACACTACGTGGGACCTGGTGCACGCCCGAACTGGTCAAAGCGGTGGAAAAGGGGTACACCCGATCAAGATCCATGAAGTCTGGCATTTTCCCCCTGAACAACGCCAAACGGGTCTTTTCGCTGATTACGTCAATACTTGGCTCAAACTCAAACAAGAATCCGCGGGGTGGCCCAGTTGGTGTCAGACCCTCGAACAAAAACGAGAGTATATTCTTCGCTACCAGGAACGGGAAGGGATCCGACTGGATATTGCCAATATTGCCAAAAACCCTGGTCGCAAGGCCACCGCCAAACTCATGTTGAATAGTTTTTGGGGCAAGTTTGGTGAGCGCATCAACAAACCCAGTACCGTCACCGTCCAAAACCCCGCCCATTTGTTCAGCCTCGTTTCCGATGCGGCTCTCGATATCAGTACGCTCCGCCTCTGTACTGACGACATTTTGGAAGCCGTCTACACCAGTGTCCAAGACAATGCCGTCAAAGGCACCAAGACCAACATCTTTGTGGCGGCGTTCACCACGTGTCATGCTCGACTGAAACTCTACGAGTCCCTCGACATCTTGCAACAGCAAGTCCTCTACTACGATACTGACAGTGTGGTGTACAAGTGGCGTCCCGGTCAACCCAGTATTGCCACTGGGGATTTTCTAGGCGACATGACGGATGAATTGGACGGGGATGTCATCACCGAGTTTGTTTCGGGGGGCGCCAAGAATTATGGGTACACGACCCGTGGAGGTAAAGTGGTGTGCAAGGTCCGCGGTTTCACCCTGAATGTCCGGGGGTCGGCCATTCTTAATTTTCATACCATGAAAGAGAACATTCTCTCGGAATTAGACTCGCCTCAGGACACTCGCCAATGAAACCGTTTTTTCTCATCTTCAAAGGCCCTGACGCCCCCCATCCGATTCGTTTATTGAAATCCAATGATCATTTTGATGGCTGCACCTCCTTTCCGGCGTTTGTCAATCGTTCGTACTATTGCCTGGATTGTGAACGAGGGTTCAACACCAACGATCGGACCCAACACAGTTGTCAAGGGAGACGCTGCAAAGCGTGCGGTCGATTTGACTGTTCAGATTATGTGCGTGGCACCCGCCCCACAGACTATTGCCCCTTATGTCATCGCAAGTTTTACGGTGAGCAATGTAAACGTCATCATGTGGATAGCCGGCAATGTCAATCCATTAAAACCTGTCTCAAGTGCCAGGCCCAGTATACGGTCGTCCCTAATCAACGTCACCAGTGTGGGTACGCCAAATGTCCCGTGTGTCACGAATGGGTGTCCATCCAATACCATAAGTGTTACATTCAACCCGTGGTCGAGAATGAGGAAGAGACTGAACCTACAGAGGAGGGGGGAGGTAGCATGGTGGCGCCACCCCCTCCCCTGTTTGTTTACGCCGATTTTGAAGCCATGCAGAATGCAGAAGGTGTGTTTGTGGCCAATTTGTTGTGTTATTCGTCCAGTGAAGAAACGACTATTCATGTGTTGGACGGAGAGGACTGTGCCCTCCAATTTTTGCATGATTTGGATGATCTCATGGTTATTCCAGACCATGAGGGCGAGCGGGAGATTCTCGTGGTGTTTCACAATTTGAAAGGCTTCGATGGCATGTTTATTCTCCATGAACTGTACCAGCAACAACGCGAAGTGGTGGATCAATTGACAGTGGGTGCTAAAGTGTTGTCCTTTAGGAGTGGACCCCTCAAATTCATTGACTCGTTGTGTTTCCTGCCTATGCCATTGGCCTCGTTTCCCAGCACCTTCAATTTGACCGAATTAAAGAAGGACTTCTTTCCGCATTTGTTCAATACCCCGGATCATCAACAGTATGTGGGCCGTATCCCTGATTTGGAATTTTACGATCCCGAGGGTATGATGGCCAAAAAGAAAGACGAACTGACGCGTTGGCATGCGGACCAAGTCCGTCGTAATGTGCGTTTTGATTTCCAGCAAGACATGATCGAGTACTGCAAATCAGATGTGGCGCTCTTGAAAGTGGGGTGTGAAGCCTTTCAGCAAGAATTTGAACAGCAAGCTGGTTTCAATCCCATGGCTAAATACATCACCATCGCCAGTGCCTGCAATCTCTATTGGCGCAAGCACCATTTGACCCCCGACACCAATGCCGTCGAACCGCTCCGGGGCTGGCGAGGCGCCCAAGTTAATCAATCCCTCAAGGCCCTACACTTGCTGTACTACCAAGAACACCTTATTCCTAAAGAGGGGGCTAGTGCCGATCGCATTCGTCATGTCCGGAATGGGGGCGAGCAGTTTGTCCGGACCCTCGTGAACAGTTATTTCGTCGATGGGTATGATCCCTTGACCCGCACTGTTTACGAATTTCATGGGTGTCTCTACCATGGCTGTCCCATTTGTTTTCCTATGAGAAACGCCAAACATTATGCCACACCGGATCGAAGCGTGGAGGAACTGTATCAAGCCACGCTCTCTAAACGCCTGGCTCTGCTTCGAGCAGGTTATATAGTGATTGAAATGTGGGAGTGTGAATGGGACAAGTTGGTGGACACGGATGAAGCTGTCCAACGTTTCCTGAATTCGTTTGATCTGGTGGCTCCCTTGGAACCCCGTGACGCCTTTTTTGGGGGTCGCACCG